CTAATTAGGCCAGGTCTTCGGTTTCCCTGTCATGTGTGTGATATGAGTTTATCAGAGCGGCCTGTCAGGCTGCAGGGGTCAGAGAACGGTGTTGTTGGACCAGCATGCAGCCTGAGCCCCGGGACAAGCTCAGCAATAAGAGAGAAGCAAACCAGCGAACGGATCAGAACTAGAAAAAAAGATCCAATAGTTTTGTTTTCAAGCTCAGAGACGCTGCAGAAAGACTCAGCAGAAGACAAGAATTCATTTCAGTAAACAAGTACCAATAGGTCTGCTATTTCATTCAAAACTAGCTTAAGGTCATCTCATGCAGTGCTTGATGTGACACCAAATAAAAACACAAATTGATCTGCAGAGCACTTTTTGTGTTTGAGGACTTGTCTTAAAATGAAGGGGGCTCCCTGTGTTCACTGTATTTTATCCCTGAAAGGATTTAAAAAGAAATAATATATTTATTGTTTCATTCTGAAGCACTTTGTAGTACAATTTGGCATTTCCAGTTGGTCAAAGAAACTGAGAATAAGATGACGGCCTTATCATTAATTGAACTTCACTTTCTTTATATTGTTATTTCTAGGTTTTATTCTCCAATCCAAAGGGATTCAGATGAATAAATACTTGATTTGGTCTTTCTGAAGGAATTCAAAATACATGTTTTATTTCTTTCCTTCTTGGAGCATATTTAAAAAAAATGTATTTAAATATTTAGCTTGGTCTCTTGCTTCGAGTTGAATATTTTTTTAAATGTAATGTAAATACTCAAGTAGCTAATAGCTTGAGATCGATAATTATCATCATTGGATGGAGCTGATATCATTATAACCATTGATATATAAAAACTATATCTGTAAACTATATCTGTATTGTATTGTAATGTTGGGGTTGACCCAATATATGTTTACATCATATATTATAGACGATGTTGTTTTTTCAAAAATCTGGCATTTTACATGAAATAATTGGGTTCTTTTGAAAGATTCAGTTATTTAGAAAAATTACAAAATTCCCACTTGGCTTCATAAAGTCTGTCTTTGTGGGAGCTCTTCCAAAGTATATTATTCATTGAACTCATAATTTAATAAAACCCAAATTACTTATTCAATATGGTACATTAGTGACTAAACAGGTAATTGTTTCTGTCCAGCAACGGTTATCTTTCTCTTGCAACAGATTTGAGCTCCATTGGGGAAAAAAAGGATTTCTTTCATCTGAGGCACAATTTCAAAAAAATGTTTCTCTGAGTGGAATCAATGTAGCAGTATTACTGCCTTACAACTTCAATTTGAATTGTATTTTCTTGTAAAACATTCCATGATATTATCATTTGTCCTTAAAGATTGGTTCAAATCTTCCTAATTTAAAATTACCACCAGTTTGTTAGATTTCGGATTCATTTGAAATCTTGTTTTTTACTTTCTATAATTTGCACTGCTGCAGCACATCACTAGGATGCACTGCAGTGCATTCAAGAGAGGGCAGTGTAACCACACATGCGGGGTGTGCTTGAGGCTTTCCTCTATTTCAGTATCTATCTCTCACATATACAATGTTACTATTTCTATACACCGCATGTTGGCTACATCTACGTTTGTTCCACTCTTCATCATTGCAAATCAGACCTTTCTGGCAGCAACTTGTTTTTTTTTGTTTTCAACTGACATTTGTCAAGGCAAAATGGGAAGTAAATAAAACGTAATAAGTACGACTAATATAGTTTCAACAGATGTTTCTACAGTCAAGAGTGAAAAACCCAGTGGTCAAGCTGTGAGGAAAAAGCTGCGCCTGGTAATTGCTGCAACACCCACTGACCTCTGTGCGACGTGCATCAGCATACCCGACGATCACATGTAAGAAAATTGCTTCAGAGTCGGTGTGTTATTGTTTCAGTGATCCCAGAGAGGTTGCTTTTCCTGGCCCTGGGTGGCATCATTAACACAGTCTGGAGTAACGCATTTAAATCAGATGGCATTGTCACAGGTGTAACTACTGCTGTTCATGCATGTGATTAATGTCCCCTTTTTTGATTAATTTCCTACGTTGGCTGTGAAGCCCTCACATTTGTGATTAATGAACCTGCAGCCTGTGTAATATAATGGTGGCTTGGTACATATTGTGTGTGTGTGTGTGTGTGTGTGTATGTGTGTTCTCTTTATGGCTGGTGTCAGCGTGTAGCATCCTTCAAATCCCGGTTCAGTCAATGGGCACAGGCAAAGTTCAGGCAACAGGAAATCATGCACAACACTTGGAACTCTCCATGTCTTAAAAGCAGAGTCTGTCTCACTGTGAAGTCACGATAGGGGCGATATATTGGGCTTTCCTGCTGTAGTTAATCTTGGAGACAAAGACACAGAAACTGGCACAGCCCTTGTATGTGAAGTTAGTTGCAGGCTGATACATAAAGCCACATACACTGACGCAGCTCCGGTCCCATGGGTCTAAGCTTCTATCTCTGCCTGAGGGCTGGGAAGGGTGTGACCAAGATGCTGCAAAACCACAGCCTCACACTCTTCCCCTGTTCACAAAAGTGAAGGGCGAGGAAATGCGTACACAGCTTGGTTATACTCACTCACTGTTGACCTTTTGACGTCTCAGTCAATATTCTCTCTTCTCTCCCTCTCGGGCTTCTTCCCACTACACCCCACCTTCCCCATCTCCCCGGCGGTGACAGAGTCGGAGGACACAGCGGTCTGTAATTAGCTGGTTGACCCCGGGGTTGGGTTGTGTGACCCCGGCAGCCGCGAAGCGCACATCCAGCCTGATCAGATGAGTAGTTCTGAGGGATCAGTGGTTGAAAGACAGCCGCCTCCTCGCCTGAGCCAACCTAGTCACATTAGCCAGCGCAGCCGAGATGGGCACAGTTACAGGAGCCCAGCTGCCGAGCCCAAACAGAGTCACAAACACCTGTCTGGGTAGAGTACAAACATACAGACACATGCTTTTCAACATCCGCGGACACCGATGTGTGCTGCAAAACACGCTACCTGCCACCACTCAAGGAAAGGAGTGGTGGTGGGGGGCTGAGGCGTAACCTGACCCAGGTAGGGGAAGGAGAGGGGGGCAAGGGGATGGGATGGGAGGGGAGGGAGGGGCAGTGCTGGCCCTTGGTCAAGTGCCTTGTATTCCACAAACAGGCCGCATCCAGTTACACTCTACCTGAGACGCTGAGCCTGAGGAGAGGATTCAAAGAAAAGCAAGTGGACCTCCCTCCCTTTGGTGCACCTTCTTTGGCTAATGGAGATTTCACTCTTTGAAAATACATTCTGATTTCCTCCCCGAGCGTGTATCCAGGGATTTAGTGAAAATCAAGACATGCTCCTTTCTTCTCAGTCAGTTTATGAGTAATTGTGTGTTGTTGATGTTTTTTTTTCTTTGCAGCTGCAGAAGTATTAAAAGCGTTTGCCATCGCAGAGGTACCTCCGAGCAGGTGGATAATTGGTAAATGTGGCTCAGCTGTGTTTGCTGTCTCTGCTGCTCACGACACTAATTAAAAGCAGCGCGACGGGAGAAAGGGAGAGAGTCATCAAGGACACGCTGGGAGACGTTCACCTGAGAAGGCACAGTCACCGATGCTGCGGGCAACATCAGCATGACCCGAACGCCGGCGCCGTTTGAAGTTGTGACAGAGAGAAAAGAGAGACAAAAGTGTCTGGATCTGAGACTACCGCCCTTGGGGTAAATAAAGAGATAGGAGGAAATAGAGAGGGCAGGGGAGAGAAAGAGAGCGCATGAAAAGAGCGCGAGGAGATGGCGACATGCAGAGAGACGAGGTTAATAAGAAACATTTTTTCTAGATTCAGAGGAAAAGGCGGAGAGACGAGAAAGCGAAAGGGAGAATCTCTTTAAAAGTTAAGGCCTCCTCTTTAGGATACTTATTGTTTAGTCTCACTTTCCGTTGCTCGGCCGTCATTCATTTCTACCTCTTTACCTCTCTCAACTCATCATGTTTACACAAGCTGTTACTGCAATTTCCCTGTTGTCAAACCGCTCTGCTGTTTTTCCTCCTTCTTTCCCCACTTCCTTTGTCTTTTTCCTGCTGGTTGGAAATCTGCAAGGCTTGCTCATCGGCGCCAGCCTCTGTTAATCCCCTCCCAAAGCACCTTAGCAACGCTAGGAATTTAGAGATGCTAAAAAAAAAAAAACACACGACGACAACGACAACAACTGTTCTTAACACTGGGCTCATATTGGCAAGAGTGGCCACATCTTGAGATGTGCGTGTGTTTTCCATAAGTAGTTCACAACAGTCTGGAAGGGTGTGATAACCAAGGATCTCTCAAGAGTGTGTGTGCCGTGTGTGTGCCATGTGTGTGCGTCTGAATGTGTGTGTGTGTGTGCGCACAGAGTGGGAGTGTATGTTTATGTGATATAGTTCCTATAACAGCAGCAACCTGGTAATCACTGCATGTAGTCACCTGAGATGCTCATTATCTAGTCCCTGTACACGTTCTGTCTGTGCCTGTTCACCCAGTCTTTACCTCAGCGCGCGCGCGCGCACACACACACACACACACACACACACACACACACACACACACACACACACAGCTGGACTCTTCTCTCACCAGTGTTCGTCTTTGTGCGGTTGGTCGCACACACCTGAACGAGTCAACGATAGACCGAGAGGCTGAGCAAAATATAAATGACTTGTGTTATCACGGGCCTAACTTTGATGTGAGCCAAATGCCTTTATGGAAAAAAAGAAAATCAATAAAGCAAGGTTACAACGCTCACAGCAATTATGCCGTTAGTTATTTTTCATTTGTTGGCTTTTGCGGTTTTCACACATCAACACACATCCCCCCCCCCCCCCCCACCTCTCTCTTTCTCTCTATCTAAAATCAATTACTAAGGGGCGATGGTAAATTAATTGAGGGCGCATTTAAGCCTTGAAATTAACACAAAGTTTAAATGTTAAAACTTTTCCATAACTTCTCACTTTGAAGTATATAATTTACCTCCCAAATTGAATGTGGAAAAAAAAAAGACATGAAGCACAATAATTTATTCTTAGGCAGAAATAAGATGCAAGATTTTATTTAATATGTAATCCCTTTTTTTCCAGCTAAAGCTAACACAACAGTAAAACAGACGGTACAATGAACGTGTATAGTAAAAGATGTGTCTCACAAGAGGACAGTTAATCCGTGAAGAAAACTGTACAAATAGTGGGCTTTTTTTGAAAATGTAAAATAGAAATATTCATGACATGTCACTTCATGCACTGGAAAGATGTCAATTGACACCTAAGATGATATGTGAATAATAAATGTTTACTTTCTTTCTGCTTCTTTAGATAAAAGAGGTTTGAATTAAAATGAAAACGACCTGTTTCACACTGTTTCCACACTGACTGAGGCTCCACTCTACTGATGCTCTGGTCCCTAGTGCCAGATCAGTACACGTTTCTCATTGGGCTGGTCACACGGCACATTAAATACACTGAAGGCTGTAGAAATATTCATTTCAGGCATTTTGACGGATTTTACAAATCTGAAAATGCAGCGGGTTCTTGGAAAACATGCCAACTGAGGGACTAAGAGTATTAAGACAGTGAAGCTGGCTCCAGTAAAAGGGAATTTTGAAACGAGAGCTGTTTATTGTTTTTGCTGAGATGGGGGAAATATAGGGCTGGGGTTGTTTATTTTTATTTTTTACTGTCGATTTTCATGGTCGACCTTTAGGTAAGCCACATAAGATAAAATGATCAAATAAAATCTCCACATACTCCGAAACCAGACACTGTACTTAGATACAAAACATTGGTCAATAGGAGAAAAGGGTTGTGTAATTAAGGGGTTTAGAGGAGGTAGCATCACATGGGAAAGAGTGAATGGAGGAAATTTGGGGCTCTGACTGTCGCTGACATTTTCCTAAAGGTCTTTTTTCGCCCACAGCACCTATGTTCTAGTGCTCGTCATAATGATGGCCTGACAGCAGAGGAGACGAGGTGCTATCTGTTAATCACAGGCCCCTCAGTGATCCATGTCCACTGGTGATAGCCATGATGGACAGTTTGCTGGAAGAGAGAGACAGACAGAGAAAGAGGGAGATGGACAAAGAGAGGATATTGATTTGTAGGGATATCAAATGTCAAAAGTCAATAAATAAAGACACAGCAGAACACAGCAAACAGCGCCCCGTAGTTTCATATGTAGGGTTTGTGCTACAACAAATACATGTGCACAATATGTACATGTGTGTATTCATTGATAGAAAGAGACACACAAGTACATGGTTATTTTAACTGAATGCATAACAGCCAGCAGGTTATCAATTCAATTACAAATGACTCAAATGTATCCCGCACCTTAAACAGTCTGATAGCTGACAACAATCTAATGGCTCCGGAAACAAATTGAGTAGGGTTATAATCATTAAAAACTATTTATCTGTTCCTCTTGGACATATTGCTGTGACATACACATCTTTCACTTGTTCCAATCTGACCTATCTAAACGACCCGTTTTGTTGATCACTTGACCCCGCAGAGTTCAAAGGTCGGCCGGTTCAAACAGCTATCAGCACGCAGCAGGCACCATAAAACCGCTGTTTCTTATTTGAACCATTTGACCCCACATTAACCTCATTCTCTACTGCCCTGAGAATTATCACCTGCCTCAGAGGAGCAGAAATCCTTTGCAGCATCTGGTGGGTACGCATGTGTGCGGGCCAGCGATAGAGAAGCACTGCAGGTGTGCTGTACACCACACGCTATTGAGCGAATTGTTGAGTTAGCGGGAGCCAGTGAGCACAAGAGCCTGTCAGTCAAACGGTGAGCTTTTTGTATTGTGTTCAAGACTAAGAGTCCACAGCCGTACTTCAGCACAGCGACGCTTTGAGGGAAATGCTAAAGTCATCAGGCTAACATGCTCACGATGTTCACATATGGTAGAGATGGGATGGATTCCCCTGTTAAACTCTTGCAAGTGTTCATCAAGACAGTTGTAAGATTACAGAGTTGGTCGGTTAAAAATACTTGATAATACAATTAAATGGAGATTTCATTACATTGAACAAATAGGCTTTGGCTGATAAGAGGCATCCATGTTTTTTTGATTTTCAGGCACTTCCGTATTTTTAAGCAACAAGTCGGATATGTTAGAGGATTCCCAGTCGTAATTACAATTCTAATGACTTGTAAATGACATTATTTGGTTGATGTTCATTAATTGTTCATTAATGGTGTATACACGCTGTGGAAACTAGTAATAGAGTAAAAGTCACGGGATCTGTGAAGGATTAATCGTTTGGGGACCATGAATTTAATCGAGATATTTTACTAAGGACCGAGGTGAAGAGACAGAGAGACTGAAGTAGAGCATTTCACCTGCTGGAAAGAGTCTGTTCAAGTGGGAGAGATGGAAGAACAAGAAAGAAAGTAATACTAGTCTGCAGGAGGCGCCATTACTTTCAAACTATTCTTCCTCACCTCTTACGCCGGAAAAACCTCAAGTACCGGCAAAGTGTGGCCTGCAGCGAGCTGCCATGCATGTCTATGGAAAGCTGCGGCGGAGCCTCCGAGCTCAGTGAGCTGCACTTGTTTCATTTGCGTTTGAAATGCGACCAAACTACAAAGTGGGGGTAGTTCAATTTTGGACAGCTAATTGGGGCCAGAGAATACCGGCAGCCAATGCGTTAACAGAGTGCTGTGACATGTTGACCTATATTGAGAAGAATTTCTTCCCGCCTGAAAACACATGAACATAGCCGTGGAAAAATGCAATATACAATGAAGCTGCTCCTTCACTGGACACTTCACATTTGGTTCTGTCTGAGAAACGGATATTATCAATACTCTCGCTGGTCGAAAATAAAATTCTGATGACTCAATTCTGACACAAGGTCTATTGTGTAAGTGAGGAACATCAAGCCACTTCACTTCATTAACATTATATTCAAAATTCCAACTTTTACTCCTGGGCACCTGGAATAGTTTGACCCGTGCTGTCAAGGAAACTCGTTCAAACTCTTTTCGGAGGCACTTAAAGACACTTAAAGAGAAAAAAATAAATATTGGGCCAAAGAGCCTTCCTTCAAGTGCAAAAACAGGATTGGAGCTGATACTTAAAACTTATCGTGTGACACTTCGTTGTTGTTCTGATTGCCACGGATCATTGGGACACTGGCACCAAAGTTTGTCTGACCTGAAAAGGGCACACGGAGACCCTGAGAAAATGGAGTTTAACTTTAAAAGATCCATGCTCCTGTAATTCTTCTTTTGAATTTAGAGATGATTTCAAGTATTTGAAGGGATAGTTAAAGTCCCATGTGTTCATACGAGAGACCTGTTTGTTCATGTGCCTTTTCAGGTCCCGTATACTGTATATCTATGTGATCCCATCGGGGTAGTCTACATGAGAGTGTGAGAGTTTCCTCTCTGACACGTCTCTGCATGGGACTAGCGTGCCTCATTCTCATGCGATTCATTGCATCTTCTTTATGATCCTCTGGTGGGGAATGAGAGGTACGCTGGCTGTAGAGGCACTGATTACTCGTCCTTGGGTTCTTGCCTGATTGTCTGGCTGCTAGTGCTTCTTGCCCTGTTGGACGTATTTCTTTAGCGACGTAGCTGCATACTGAGATCTCAGCAATTACTTTGGCGAGTACAAAGTTAATACTGTAGAACTGATGGCCAGAGCTACAAAAGTAAAAAAGCCAAGTTTGTATGAAACGCCAGTTTTCCGAGCACACCTGCTAAGGGCTGCAGTGCTGTACATACGGTTTAAAGGGCTGGGTAAAGTGGAATATAAATTGAGGGGTATGGCGAGCAATAAAACACATTGCCGTTCCGCGACTTGGCCGGCGGTGGAGGCAGTCACAGAGCCTAATGGTTTGTAAAAGGGAAAGCCGTAATGGCTGGACTACACGTTCACACGCTGGACGCCGACACGGTTGCGTTACACGTCACGCTAGCGTTGTAAATCTGTTCTATGGCACGGTTCTTTGCAATGGCAACGGTACACATAAAAAACGGCCGCTGCACTGACCATCCCAAGATTGTGTCTCTGCAGACACTGTTAACTGCTTAGCACTTCTTAAACTTAAGCTTACAATCCTCTAAAATGAATCCAATGCAGAAGTGTCTTAAACTTGCATTCTTTCTACTGGCTATTAGTGGGCAACTCCTCTGGTTGCAAAAATAAATCAGATTCTATAGAAGTCTATGAGAAAATGACTCTACTTCTCACTTCATTTCTTACCTCAGTAAACATTGTGGACATGAGTTTATGGTCTCAATCACTAGTTTCAAGTCTTCTTCAATACAGCATGATGTTCATTTAAAAGAATCATGGTCCCTTTTAGAGGGATATAACGATAGGATTCTACCGCTACCAGAGCCGTATGCAGCGTCTCTACGTCACCTCTCCGCAGTGAAAATATGTTCACTTCCGTTCACTGGTTGCAAAAAGTCAAGATGGCGACGGCCATAATCCAGGAAGACAACAGCCAAAACGCCAAACTCAAGGCTTCAAAACGACAGTCCACAAACCAATGGGTGATGTCACTACATCCACTTCTTGCATACAGTCTATGCTCAAAGCGCAATCAAACTCGAGCAGCTCGGACTGGGGGTGTAATTTGTGTCTCTTTTGAGGCATCACATGTCAAATTTAAATGTAGTTTAAGCAAGAATGTCAGTAAAATCTGTATTGATCTGTAATAACTCTTTCAGTTACTTGAGAAATCTCACTCTTCCTACCAGTAAGTGATAAAACATAGCTACCGTCCATCTCTTCGGTTATAAACCTGTTTATAAGGTTGTATGCTGGATGCCCCCAACCCACACTTCAAAACTCATTCTGGGGCTGTTGCGTGTAACACAACAGAGTCACTGTCGTGTATGTGCGTGTAGCCATGCTGGCTGTCCCTTTTACACTGACGTTGATTCGGCTCTGTGACTTCCTTCGGATCCGCTGCCGGCTTAATGGCAGAACAACTCTGTGCCCCCGTTCTGTGTTTGTGCCTCCTACATTAGTCGAGGCAGAATAACTGCACAGGCTGTGTGAAAGGGGCTTTAGTCTGTCTGCTGTCCGGTGCTGGACAGCTAGTGCACGAGATGCGGGTTTATCGGAACTTGTTTGCTTAAAACAACTTCCTGCTGTGGCTGGAAATTAAGTTGATGACTTTGCTGGCATGAAAACCAAGAGAATGAGTTCAAACAAGTGAAAAGGTCTGATAAAGCGGAGGGAAGCCTCGGAGTTCGGTGAAAACTTTCGGTGGGCTTGTCGAGTGACCTCGAATCACACTTCCCAGTAATCTGATCCACCTCTTGGTATAAATATGTCGATTAGTGACGCTTTAACCATTCTTGAGCACAGAGGTACGAATCATTATTGTCATAAGAGTTGTTTTGTAATTTTGTGGATCTGTTACTTGTTCATAAGACACACACACACGCACGCACACGCACACACACACACACACACACACATATATATATTCAGTATACAGAACACTTTGTATTTCATCTGTTTGCAGATAAAAAGTTCTTTATTTTGTATTTAATGAAGAGTAATTAAGGCAGGAAAACTTTTCCGACAAGAGTTTCACGGTCCTCTTAACGAAGCCCCTTTGTGTGAGACTACGTTCATATCAGCTGAGCTTCGGCTTATTTCACTATACAAGGCTGCTAACTTTCAGATACATGTACAGTCTGCTGGGTTTTTGAGATCATAATACTTTATAGAATAAATGTCTTAAAATCAAAACATATATTAAAAAGACATTTAGTAAGCTATAGTTCACCTGATTAAATAGGCCTACCTTGCAGAAACTTTGGAACATAGACCATAATAAAGTTGACAGAAAATATAACGGAGCACTAAAATGACTTAGTAAAATGAGAATTTCTGTTTTTAAATACAGATATACAGTATATGGCTAATTAAATTGTCCATGGGTGTGCTGGGGGACTCATGACCTCAGTACAATCCTGGCTTTAGCCCTGATTGAGAGTCTCCTCATCCTTTCATTCGGTGATGGACGGTGAGGCCACTCAGTATGCTGCACCCCAACCCCCCAAACATCCATCTTCTTCCAACTTATTCTTTCCTTTCTCCTCGTTCCTCCAAAAAAACTCCCCGGTTCCCGCGGAGCGGCTGGTTTTGTGTGGCCCCCCCCAGCACTGTCCCGTTTTTTATCACTTCTCTGACGGGTTACCCCGGTCCCCCTCGCACCTGCGCCGCTACCAGGTCCCTACAGGAATGCGCTGGGGCTTGTAATCGCCTTTGTGGGGGCCATTGAGTTGTACGGCTGACTGAAACTTCCCAACCTCACAGCGCGCTGGCCGCTGAATGGGGCTCAGCGTGGGGCGGCTCTGCAAACCACGGCCGCTGCCAAATTCCTACAGTGGCGCTCCACAATCACTCCCACACAGGCCCCGATACAGGCTACCGCCAGGCAGAAGGGACGGGGAGGGGCGGTGGGCCGGGACTTGGTGATGGTGGTGCGTGTGTGTGTGTGTGTGTGTGTGTGTGTGTGTGTGTGTGTGTGTGTGTGTGTGTGTGTGTGTGTGTGTGTGTGTGTGTGTGTGTGTGTGTGTGTGTGTGTGTGTATTGGGCAGAGAGATGGTAAAGTCTACATTTAACTCCATACAAAACAGTCACTTTTTGCTTCACATCGCAAATCTGGATGGGCATGCAAACATTTCTTGTTTTTTTTGTCACTTTTCGATTAGTCGATAAAGGGGAAACAGTGATTTAGGTCAACAATACACCAAATTTCTTTTTTTTTCTTTTTCTTTCATTTTGATATCTCACCTCTTGTCAAAAAGTCCCAGTGCAGATGTTATTCCAACAACGGAGAAATCTGAAAAATACAAAACAAAAAATAGAAAATAAAAAAGGCGTTTGAATGCTTGACAAAGTTTGAAAATAAAGCAATTTCTCATAACTTTCAGGACATTTGTGCCGCGTTTCGGTGCATTAGGTCCGTGGGCCGGCATATAGCGCGGTAGCTGTGGGTAGATAGAGCAGCACTGCAGGATTAAGAGGCAGCAAGATTGTTAAACATGTCAACGTGTAATTGCACGATAAGGCCCTTCCGAGGAATTCATTGGCCCAGTTGCTTTCTCTATTCCGCGCTAATCTCGCCCGGCACATTCGCTCTGTGCAATCTGTCTCCATAATCTTCTGTGACAGAGCGGGCGACGAGAGCAGCCTGTTTGGTAATTTTTTTTAGGAAAAGGAGGGAGGGGGGGGGACGGGGACGCGGAGAAAATATGCAGAGGCGTGATAAAGTGACGCTAATTATCCCCATTTAGGACTGGGAGTGCAAGGGATCGGGGCTTTACGAGCAACCGAGTGTGCGCTGGTGCTGATGGCCTCCTAGCACGGAATATATCGGTGGCTACAAGATAAGAGCATCGCGCTGTGGAGAGATTTATTGGCCGGTCAGCTAAACACACGCGAACACGCGCGCATGCACAGGCACGTGAACACAGGCACACAGGCACACAGGCACACACACACACACACGCACACACGCACACACACAAATACACCCTGCTGCCTCGGAGCCTTTATGCGTTGCACCCTACACTTACCCCTCTTCCACCTCAAGGTGTAATTTATTCGGGTTAAATTTGCCAGAACGCTCCTCTTTTAGCCAGGCGATGCGCCGTGACGCGCTCCGCCTCTCCGTGATTTCAGTGTTAATCCGCATCTCTTCACATCAACAGATAAGATAGAAACAGATGCAAAACGCACCATCCCATGCCATACGGTGCGCGCTACAGTGCGGAGAGATGTCTCCATAGATGCGATTTTTTGTTGGGGGGGAAACAAATTTCCAGACATTGTTCCTCTGATTTCTTTCAACAGATTAATGCTCAGCCAAACGTTACACGCTTTACTATGAGGCCTAACAGGTTTAATTGACATACCATGCAAGTCTTCATCAGTGTGAAATAGGCCCTTTAACTATGTATTTGAGATTAATTGATTTTAAAATGCCTAAGTAGGCATCATTTTTCCTCATTTGCATGTGTATGGCTATTAGCCTGTATCTACATATGCGACCTACAGGCAATACAAAAAAGATATATATACATGTCAAACCCAGCTGCGGTCTGTCAAAAAGTGACGTCATTTTCAGACCAATTTTTCATCATTTAAAAAAGATTAAATATCTGAATGACATATCTGTTCTCTCAAACATGTCTGATCCGCAATGAAGGTGCTTTTGTACAAAGGTGACAAAAGGTCCTCTCAAATCAAACATCTACAACTTTGAAATTCTGATGAGTCATCAGTAACCCCATTGTCACGAGCGTGCCTGGCCAGTGGGAAGTTTAAGTCCAGTCTGCGCAACATTTAGGCCGTATTGTTTTTTTTGTCGTGCACGTCGTTAGATGTACGCATGTTGAGGATGCACGCATTCAATCTGGAATTATTTCATGCTCTGCTTTGTGCTGTGAGTGCAACCGAGTTGTACACATGGACTATAAGATATTTTTCTTCCTGTACAATGTCAGACGGTTAATTCCCTGCAAGTCTCTTGTAGTTTCGTAAAACATGAATGTATTGTTGCCTCGTGTAGTTTTCCCGGTTCCCTTTACTTTCCTGCCTCTCAGCTATACTAAAAGATGATGGGACTATGCAATGAGGATAAAACCGTGGGTAAAATAACAGTTATTAAATGTGTCATTTTGAGCACTGCTCCATTGATAGCAAGATTTAGATAGTCCTATTTTATTTTGGTCTGTTGTATTGTTGATCACCATGAAGCTATATATAAATAAGCTATATCATATTTCAGTTGAGATATTTTTTTTTCTCTCAAAAAATTTAATTCCAAAAGAGAGATAAAGATGATTTAAAAAAAACGTATTTTCTATGCTGAAATAAATACAATCCTTGCATCACTATAGTATTTCTTATTTATTATTGTTATTTACTTTTTCTGCCCGAGTCGTATTATTTAAGTCAAGTGTTCAAAACAGAAGCAGTGGAATTACAAACTAAAAATATATGAATCTATTTGAATGATTTTTTGTATTTATTCAAATTTTTTTTTTTTGTTGAAAGGCCTAACACAAACTCATACTTAAAAAGTCAATATCAAAGCAAGTGAGTTATATGGCCTTTTGATTTTGTTGTTATATTTTTGGAAGAACATTTCGTTATTGATATTCTGATGTAATCTAATCAAACATGTGTAAGTCTGACACAACCTTGCAATTCATTAGAAAAATAGATATTTAGAGTTAATAAAACATTTCTGCTGCTTACATTTTCTATAAATACTGTCATAGCTCATAATCATTACCTCTTATTCCCATTAATACATGAGGATATTTCGTTAATAAAACTAACAGGTGGTTCGTCGCATGAGGCATTGACGTAATCAGATTTGTTTAGAAATGATAATATAATATCTAGCTTGAATATGGTTTGGCCTGGCACAAATAAAAAACTTTTTCATAATCTATGAATACATTTGTCATTACTCACATTAAAGGTTAAGTCCGTGAAACAGTCTGTAGGCCTCCGAGGAAACTTTCCTCGGAGGCCTACAGACTGTAGCTTTTACGCACAATTACGCACAAACAATTAGGCTATTTAAAAGCTGGTGGGATCATGTGGTGTCGCAATTTAAACAGGTGGCTATTTTTCTCGAGCGGAGGCTGAGTGATATTCTTGTGTCCTAAAACGTGAAAACAATCCTGTAAGAACATTGTGAAAATAATCAATCTAAGACCGTTGTCTTAAGAATCAAAAGCAACATCTGGTGAAATTTATTCAATTCTTCTTCATTGCAATATCAGGGCTTTTCACTTGCAGAAAAGCACTTAAATTACAACAGCAGTTGCCCGTCATCATTTGAAATATTAAAATTATTCACAATTTACAATAATTAGAGTGTTACAATAAAAAGAGATGGTTTCCAAGAATTAAGACACAGGCTTCTGCAAATGAACACAAATGTTTAAAGAAGGTGATTTCCCCATATCTTTTAAAGCACTTTCTTAAGATTATGACACGTTATCTCATTTTCAATAACTTACAAGAACCCCCAAAAGTATGAGACAATTGAACCAAATACCCCCCATGTGAACCTGGCGTAACCCTCAACCAAGACTGTGAAGTAATGGACAAAAAGATGGTTGCACAATCACCAATATCTCAGCATCATATTCGTTATATAATTCCACTGGTGGCTATTAAAAAAAAAAAAAAGATGAATTTGCTATTTACCCTTCATTTACAATATCATAAACATTCTGTACAAAATGCAGGTAGTTTTCGGGACCGGGGTTATTTAGAAAAGAGGTAAATATTTGGTTATGTGTTCGTTTGCAGTTTTCAATTATTCTGTGAGTTCTAAATGTGTGTTAGAGGGACCGTCCCGTTCACTCCAGCCGTGGCGCTCTGGTAATGCTGCGGCAAGGCATGGAGTCTACTTTGCATTGACGGGTCCCCCGGCTCTCCGGTCGGTAAATACATGCTTATCATCTCTCTCAAGTCTCCGGGGCAAGGACCCCGTGAGTGTGTGCTGCTGACGGGAGGGCTTACACTCGGCTCCGACTTCACCAGCGACCCTAACGTCCCCATGGCGGCTGAGGAGGAGACGCCGGAGCCCTGGTGCTGTGTGTAGGTGATCCCGCCGTAGCCGGATGGAGAAGCGTTCATGTAGCTCTGAGAGTTCGAGATGGGGCTGTACTGCAGCGCTGTCATGTCGTAGCGGTGCATGGGCTGGGGGTTGTGTGAGTGATGGTGGTGTGAGTGGTGGTGGTGGTGCGCTCCGCTCCCCGGGTGCTGGCTGTAGGCGAGCTGCGCCTCCTGCATCATCGCCGCGGCCGCCGCGGCAGCAGCCACCTGCCCCGAGTACGCACCGTTCGCCCAGCCGTTCATGTGCGCGTAGCCGGAGCTGGCGGAGCCTCCGTGACCCCCGGGGCTCTCTAACCTCTGCCCGACCCCGGATGAACTCATTCCGACTCCTAAACCAACTCCACAGCCCCCACTGGGCCCAGAAAGCAGTCCACCGGCAAGGGAATATTTGTCCTTTTTCAGCAGCGTCTTGGTCTTCCTTCTTGGCCGGTACTTGTAATCCGGATGTTCCTTCATGTGCATGGCTCGCAACCGTTTCGCCTCGTCGATGAAAGGGCGCTTCTCCGCCTCGGACATCACCTTCCACTCGGCGCCCAGCCGTTTGCTGATCTCAGAGTTGTGCATTTTGGGGTTCTCTTGTGCCATCTTCCTCCGCTGCCCACGGGACCACACCATGAACGCGTTCATCGGTCTCTTCACCCGCTCCTGATTCGCTTTGGACCCGCCGTTCGGCCCCGTTTGCCCCGTGGTCGTGTTCGTTTGGGGGCCGGGGGAATGCAGGTCAGTTTCCATCATCATGCTATACATTCACCTGGTTTTTAAACTTCGCCACCAACAGAGAAAAAAAGTCTATTTCAAAGATAGGCGCGCACGAGATCGGGTGCGCACAGGTTGACTGGGGTACAGAATAGATATTCTAACCCAAATGATTAAAATACGAGACAAAAATTAATCCGAAACGGGATATAAAATGTTCTCCAACCAGTATTTCACGCTGTCTTCGCCTGGGTTGGTTCACATCCACTGTGATAGAATGCGCATTCGAGCCACTTTCCCTGTCGGAGTTAAGAAGTTGGTTAAAGCGGCGGCCATATGATGCGCACTGACAGCGGTTAAATGAGCCACAAGCGGCCAATGGGGCTCTAACAGCAGAGTGATTTGCATGGCGTTTGGTCAGGTGACTAGAGGACCATAGAGGAAGAACACACCGGAGGAGGAGGAGGAGAAGGAGGAGGCAGAAAGGAGGGCCAATCCCACAAATAGCACAAGGCATTTGAAATTTCCAAACACGCTCTCGGAGACATCAGCTAAACAAAAATAACTAAGATTTTGTTAGCACGGATGTAGCGGGGTGCAGTCTTTGAGCACCATGAGTCAAACATCTAAATATATTCTTAGAACAGTTATGGTTTCGGTAAACGTGGTTAATACAGCCTCCATATGCAGCAGATATTAAACTCACAGGCTTCAACACAAGTTTAGATACAAATCTGGTTACTCTCCACTTATTTTCTTTATTTGTGCTTGAACTTCACAACGTGTCCCCTCATCTTTACCGGTTATTCTCAAATCTGCCGTGCGTCATATAAACACGGGCCCAACTCTATTTGTATGCACTGGAATTACAGTCTACCCAAACCAATTCTATATCAGCGGACTTGATGCTCCACCGGGGCTTCAAAATCCATTTTTTCAGACCACCTCTCTCTTTCTCTCTCCCCCCAGGTGTGTAATTAAGGTATGTAGTAATAGTAGGTGTCAGAGAGAGAGAGAGAAATTACACACTCCACGCGGAGGATGCCGTGAAAGAGGTTTGGTAAAGCGCCGTTGGTCGAAGAGGAGAAGCCTCTGAGCATGTAATGACGTGAAATTGCCGGGGCAAAGCGTCGATATCGCCGTCTGCTGGCGATGGTGAACGATTCCTGACTCAGCCTGTGCCCGCAGCTGAAGAAGAAAAGAAAGAGCACATGTAAACTGCTCTGCTGCTGTCATTTTCTGTGGACTTTTGCTCATACACTTTAAGTCCCTCATTTAACACCCAGGCAGCCGTTTGGAAACCGTGAGAGGGAGCCGATGGATGCGTCTTCCGAGCCCACGCATATATAATCCAGATTTCACAGCTGACCTCCCCTGAAAAGCCCAATCAACCCCTAATTGAAAGGGAAAACGAAAGACCACTTCCCGCGGCGAGACTAACGATTTAATCATTCCATCGTCCTTTGCTGTTTTTTATTTAATTGGGGCTTAGCTTGATATGGCTCTCTGTTTAGGGCCGGAGGGAGCGGGATCACTCGGACAGATCCATGCGTCTTTGGTAATAGGGTTAACGGGATATCACAATGGTCAATAAACGTTTCCAGTGGTCTCGGCCGCGTGGCTTAAGGCCCGAGGAAGATGGCAATATAATGACAACACGGAGAGCTGCAGGGCGGTGAGGGCCAGTGACGCTGTCACACAGGAAAACAAATAAACAAAGTAAAATAAAGAAAAACCATGACGGCGCACTGGCCTCTTATAATAAAGGGAAATACGCTGGTAAAGTGCCTCAATATTAATACGAACACTTATCACATGACAAATCCATAAAAGGTATATGGAATTATATTGCTAAATTGAAAAGTAAGGAGTAGTATTTTATTGACCAAACCAGATAAGTCCAGTAATACAAGCAAATATAAATTGGATTTTGGCACATTTGCTATTGCAAAATTTAACAAAAAACATTTTCAGACTTTTTTTAATGCATTGAGCCATATATCTTAATATCAGTCTAAATTAATTCAAACAGACTTCACAAGCATCCACAATGGTATTGTTAAAGAAACACATGATTAATGTAACATCAAAATATAATTTGTCACGGTGTTAAAGTATCGATGGAGAAAATTCATGAAATCATTATTATTATCATGTGTTTCTGTCATTGTGGAGTGGGTTTGGGATTGTAGAGGATTAGTCTTTACAATGACACTGGGACACCGGTGGCCCCTGTTTACTCTCTCTGTCGTCCCCCAGTTACTCCTCTTTTACCAAACCTCTTTTCAAACCTCCTCGCTCCTTTGTGTGCGGCCTCTGCTACAGGATGTGCGCACTGCGATGATGGTGTACGGCAGGGGCCAAGGGTCAAAGCGGTTATCACCCCCCCTTCCTAAATTAATAAATAAATAAGAGACGGATTGGGAATAAATACAACTCATGTCTCACAGCGTCCGGTGGGTGTTTGTGCCTTTTAATCTCAGCAAACTCCTAAATCACTCGTTTAGTAACTCTCTCACATTTAAAAATAAAAAGAGGCCAAATTTATTCGGGTTACCCCCTTTAATCTGTGATCTTTTTTTTTCTAAAACAGTTAACCTATAACCCCTCCCAAAAAAAGAAAAGTCCACGTGTGGTGCATGTCTGTGCACAGCCAAGCGCGCGGGATAAGGTTGATTTGGGCTTTTGGGAGGAAAAAATAGTTGTGATCACCTGCTCACGTGCGTAAGGCAGGAGAAAGCAATTGTTTTATAGCTTCAATCTAAACCTAATATAAAAAAAATCAGCCCCCACCACTCTCACCCGCCTCCCTCCGCTTCCTGAAAAGTAAAAAAAAAAAAACCCCGAGAGAACCATGCCACCTTAATATCGAGCTGCGTTAAAACAATGCGCGACTGAATAAACCTCCACAAATTTACAGCACGCGCCCGGTTAATCCAGCCAGCCATTATTATCACTCACTCCCGAACAGATCAGGAGCAAATAATGTCACCTCGGAAAATCAAACGGAGTCGGTCGGAGAGCAACTGGTAGCAACATGAGGCGCAGAGCAGCGCGCTCTGGTGCAGCCCCGCGCGGCTCACTCGTCCCAAAATAAAACACGCATCATCCGCATTGAATTGAACACAGCAGAGCCCAGGCGCTCCGAAATAAAGCTTACCAATAATTTAAAAAAACACTTGCAATCACAGATCAGAAAGCGTTCAAGTTCGCCTTACCCCTTATATTATTTTTTTTTTTAGCATTTATTCAACTTCACGTTTTTTACAAAAATAGATTTTACTCACCACAGATAGTTCAACTACTAATGCATCTACAGGATAAATACTACACATGCGTAACCGTCATATGCAAACTTACGCATGTTCCCCATCGCTCCCTCTACTCCAGACCAAGTGGGCAAGATTTCTCCCTCCATACTCCTAAAGCCGTCCTAAACCCTCCAAAGCTTCATGTAAGACCGCTACTCCCACTACAATCTGGCCGCTCGAGTGCCAAGGCCATCCATGCCCGGTGCCCAAACCCACCACTCAACACACACTGAGGGGCAGAGACATGAAGAAATGACATTTATTATACACTCCAAAAAAGACAATTCCAAGTTATTGTTTCTCTCTGCGAAAGGGGCTTGCTTCTAACACAATGAAGTGTCTTTTGTGTTGCACAGAACAATACAAAACAAGTATTCTAATAAATAGCCACTCTTTTTTTCCCTTTTTTTTTTTTTGGCTCTCCAGGATGAATGGGCTGGAGCGGCGGGTTCTGAGAGGCAGCTGTGCCGCATTCGGGGAGGAGGGGCGAGGACTTGGGGAGGAGCCCCGCACCCCCTTCCGCGTCCTCCATGGATACTGACTCCACATTACTGATCCTGGAGCAGAGTAGGATGCAAGGAGAGAGGGATTGGCTTTTTGAGGCTGTTTTTACACGCGGGACATACACTGTGTCCAGCAACGTGATCCTCACATATTACTTCATACTATGAAGTCCACAGCATCCAATAAGATTTTAGTTTATATGAACCTGCACAGCTTGCAAGCATGTGGCTCTGACAGCTAGGGAAACACACACACACACACACACACACACACACACACACACGCACACGCACACAAGCCTCTTACTATAAATATTTTGAATAGTGAAGCTTTAACCATTCTTAAGCAGAGTTGGCAGATCAGAGGTATGAATCATTTTTGTAAGTCACAAGGGTTGTTTTTGGAATTTTGTGGATCTGTTGTTTTTCATATAACACACACGCACATACACACAGCTGAGCTCATATAAGGTTTATTATTACATTCCCTTCAAAAATCTAAAATGTGAAAGTAAGATTACATCTGGCATAAAATGTCAGGATAACTATTGATGTTATTGTTGTTTCTTGAGTTACACTCACTAAGCCGATGGTGGTTAACCAACCTTTTCATATACTTTCGTCCCAGGAGAAAGACCCCGTCGCTGCAGATTAAAACATCTTCTCCGTCCTGTCGTTTTTTTATTGATTCACCAGAGATTACTCTGCCACTTTGCGAGATGTACTGAATCAAATAAGAACTACACGCAAACCATGCGAGCAGGAGATTGACACAAAGTGGTAAAGCTCAGTAAAAGGCAATATTGAAAAATATTAAGAGGGGGAAAAAAACAAGAAAGACAGCGAGAGTGGGAGAGTGAGAGTGAGAGAGAGAGATCAGGTCAGGTTCAGGCCTAAAAGCGTTGAGGGAAGAGTGAGCCAATCGGATAAAAGCAGAGGTCTTAGCTCAGTTCATATTGTCGCTCTCAAACACAAATCTCCATAACACGACACAAAAAAACCCCCCGAAGACCTCAAAAACAGCGAGAGGTAACAACATACACATCATGAAGAGTTAAGGGAGTGATACGTATCTAGAATTTGTATCCTATTTGCTTTTAAACTCCCTCTTAAACCATAACTGAAAATGTTAGCAGGGATGATCCAGTATTGAAAACTGAGGGACACACTTGAAGAAGAAAGCACATAATGTATGTGTACGGTACGCCTATTTGAGCAAAATAGAAAAGAACAGAAGAAGACTTTATTGTCCACCAAAGTGGAAAATGTAGCTCAGCAGAACATGAAAGCAGCCTAAGAACATATTGTAAAAGAAAACGAAGGTAAAATGACACAGAAAGTGAAACACAATATGGTTGAAAAATTGTAAGATGTTCAAACATAAAATAAACGAGATCCACTGTTGAGAATATTTAGAGATGGTAATGGCTACAACTGGGTGATCCTAGTCTCTTGTTAATGGCATAAAGCTTTGTGTCCATATTAAGTTTTAGAGCAGGATGGTCACCCCAAACAGACAAACTGAAACGTGGGAGTTTTTTCGATGGAGAGAACATGCCATTCAAGTCTGGGGCACCCTCGTCTACAAGCAATTTGTTCTTTTGTTCCTCCATGTGCTCTATTTTCATCTTCTTCTCTTGGTTGAATTGTAAGAGAAGATCATACAAGGGCCTGATGGAGTGGTGAGTCAGAGGCAGGATGAAATGAAGTGAGAAAAAGAGTAAGAAGAGAGAGAGAGAGAGAGAGAGAGAGAGAGAGAGAGAGAGAGAGAGACCGGGGAGGCCAAAGTCAATCCCATGGCAAACAGCAGTGGATAATCATGGGCTTTAGGAAAACACTGTGTCCATAATGCTATTACCCAGGATTACCTACTCTAGCAGAGAAGGAGAGACTCTCTTCACAATGTGCCCCAGACCTTTCAGATAATCATCTTATCACAGATGACAAACCCAGAAGAAACATCCCATTATTCAAGAAGGGGGAGAAAAAAATCTACAGCATGTTTGGATGAAGACATATTGTAAGGCTAAATTATTCGAGTGGAAAAATATCAGATTTTGAAATTAGCACGCCAGTCGCTTCCCCACTCTTCCTCCCGCTCTCTCCCTTTCATTCTCTCCCTGTCTCTTTCTCTCTCTCTCCCTCCCTCCCTCTCTTCCTCCTGCTCTCTCCCTTTCATTCTCTCCCTGTCTCTTTC